GTATTTCTGACCAACCCTCCTCACAAAGTCAAAGCTTATTGCTGAAATAAAAGAGAAAAGCATGCAGTGAGTCAGACATGAGTGCTCATGTAAACACACGTGTTTAATCCTGTGGACAGTGAATGTAAAACGTCTCCACAGCCTGATGAACTTCAGGTTTCCTCCTGGACAAATGGAAACCACAGTCCACCATTTCTCCACCTTCCTGTGACATATTTCCTGTTCAGGTCGAGTCAAAGTAGAGAAACGTCAGTTCCTGGTAAAATGCAGAGTGGATTCTTATTGCTGAAAGAGTTTTGCTGAAAGCTGCTGAAGAAGTTGAAACCAGCTAAAAATCTTCCATCTTTAAACTGATGATGTGAGCTGAACTTGAACAGCTGACGTTTGCTGATAGCAGCAGAAAATCAGCAGAAATGTGTAGACAAGGCTGAAATATGCAGAGAGGCTGAAGAGCCGACAAAAAAATCTGACATCAAACCAAACGAAACTGAAATGAGCAGAAAAAAGCTGAAACCAGATAAAAGGTGCCTGAATAGTTTAAAAAAGACTGGAATTATCAGAAAAAGGCTGTAAAGAGCCGAAGAAGTTATTGTGACATACGAGTGATCACTTTATTTTCATCACACTCATAAAGAGCCTGCATGTTTTTAACATGATGCAACAGTGTGTTGTTTAGTTAACTGTAAAGACTTGAGCACTTACAAAGTACTGAGGTGAAAAGGGTCAAGTTATAAACGCCTTAACAACACTGAAGAATGATTTCATTATTAACCCTTTACAAGCCTTTACTTCCTGGACTGCTCATAAGTAAAGACCTACCCTGGTTTAACTGTGCCGTGGTCCTCGTCAACGTGTCCAGATCCTTTCTTAAAGAATCAACAGGATCTGGAAAAAACAAGTTCAACAACCAACGTTTGATTCTGTTAATTCACCCCCTATTGTAAAATATACTCAGTTATTGTAGATTACTGACGCTTTAACTGCACATTTTAAAGTATTTGGACTTAATGTAAAGTGTTCTGACTCGTGCAGGATGTCACCCGGCACCGAGGGATTTGGATTGTGAATGTTTGTAGTTTTCAAAACGAGTGTTCATCTGGACTGGACCTGAACTGGGAGTGCAAGAAAACCTTCATGTTTTCAGAGCAAGATACTCAAGTGGGTAGGAGTTACACTGTGGAGAAGAACACGGGGAGGTTTCTGGCTTGTCTGAGGCGGAGCAGAGTGACGGATCCTGGTGAGTGGAGGAAGCAATTTTATCCACCACCAGGAGCAATGGAGGAGCTAGGGGGTGGCCAATGGTGGCCCTGGACACCAACTTGGGCCACCCCAAGAGCCACCACAATCATGTGAGGAAACTGTACCTTTAAGCAACATAAAACCTAGAGAGCAAAGTTGTCTCAACTGATCAGACTGGCTGGTTTACACATAAATGGTGGTGGCCATCTTGGATTTTGACGTGACAACCCAACTTTCAGTAATGACCTAACCTACGTCTAGAGACAGCATCACATCTCATCAGCTCTTTGCTCCGTGACGAGACAAAAACTATTCAACTGAACTTCTGTTTTGTGTTCAACAAAGTAAAATGTCATCTATTCTCATTTAAAACCTAATTATTTAACAAGTGATATTTGACTGATTTAGTTGCAGTGTAGTGGCTCTGCTTCCATGTTTTCCACAATCACCTGCCAACATGTTCCTCTTAAACTGTAAATCTTTATTTATTTATTGTGTTTGACCTTTATTTTACCAGGTGAAATGTTTGTTAACCAGTTCTCAGTGACAAACATGACCGGTGATAAATTAGACACAGTAACAAAACACAGAAGTTGAAGCCAAAATGAATTTGTGCTCTCCTGTCAGCTGACTGCAGTAACAGTTATTTCTTTTTAAAACACATTTAAACTCTTTCCAGATGTGGTTTTTCTTGATGTGGATCTTACCTCGCTGCTGGACGTTTCAAAATAACTTTTTAGTTGTACTTTGTTTATGCTACGAGTGTGCAGGTGGGACTTTCTCCTCGTCCGCAGTGCTCAGACTCTGGCTCCAGAAACACAACCACGTATCATCCACATAACAAATATTTATCTTCACCTTTGTGCAATGTGAATAAATGGACGTTCAATATAATAAACAGTTTTAGATTTTTAACCATTAGATTGAGAAAATATATAAAGTCAGTCTTAGAACTATTTTTATATTTTCTTCTACTGCTGCATAATCAGTTCCAATACATTAAATATTACCAGCCTGAATTAATCAGGAGGCTTCAATAAATAATAATGACCTCTTCCACACATGAAAACTGATCCAGGTTGTCCCTTTCGTCCACGTGGTCCTGGGAATCCAGGTTGTCCTGATGATCCATTAGGTCCTAGAGGTCCTACATCTCCACGTTCTCCCTTAATTCCTGAGTACAAAAAAAAGGTTCATAATCAGCTTCATCTGAAGTAAAATTACATTTACAATTTTCAATATTCATTAATAATGTAATAAACTTTGTCAATTAAAGTTAGTTTTCTAATTAGATCAGATTTTCAAACTGAAAGCACAAAGTTAGACTTCCTAAAGGTGAAGACAAGAAACCTGGTCCTGTTACCTGGTAGTCCAGGATTTCCAAGTCCAGGATTTCCTGGAAATCCAGGAGATCCAGGAAATCCTCTTTCTCCTTTTTCTCCTCTTTCTCCTCTTTCTCCTCTTTCTCCTTTGTAAAAATCACTTCCCTGACTGTGGCTTGCAGACGCCATCAGGCAGAAAACAAAGAGACGATAAAGCTTCATCTCTTCAATGCAGGACTCTGTTAAAAAGATTTTAAAATAATAAAACAAAATAAACCTTGTTCCCACCAAGTTTCTGTTTAAATTATATTTTCTTTTAATTTAACTTTATTTGTGAAATGACCTAATCTAGTTTCTGTTTTCTATAGACAGTAACATGTGTGAAACACTTCCAGTAATTTTCATGTAGTTGAACAAACAGCTTACTAAAATTAAACCTGCTCATGTTTATATAGTATTTAAAGTTATTTGTTGCTGTTCTAATGATTTAAAAACTCACCGATTAAACAGGAGTGTCTCTGAATGTGCTGCTTCCTCGCTGCTTTCACATCAACAGGATGGGAAGAACAGACTGAAGTGAGATAAACGAGTTTCAACCTTCAGGAAAACATCATTATTCAGAAATGTGTTCTCAAAACATACAAACCAGAGACGAAACCTCCTACGGTCTCAGCCAGCTGGGCCTAAGGTGGAAAACTGTTTGTTTTAAGGACAGAGATCA